ATCGATGAGATTTTAACAGGAAGATGCACAGAGTCAGTTTCTGTGTAGATTCTCTCTCATCTAGGTCATGGTGATTCAGCAGAAGGCATTTTAGTCACATCGGCTCTCGGGCTCAAGGAATGTCAATGTTTGTCCAGCTCTTCGATTCAGATCGAAATATCTCAAGTGCTGGAAATGTTACAGTGCTGTGTATGAGGTGCTAAAAGTAGACCAAGAATAGTTGTTATGATATTTATAGTAATGAAGAGCCAGAGTAGCAGACTAAAAACAAAATCATATTCTGTGTGACCAGCCCTGCTTGGTTTTTGATACGCACTGGTTTTCAAAGCGCTTGGCAGGTAGACAAACGTCTTATAGAAGTTGCCACAGTTTGTCTCTATTCATACAGTCCCAGGCTGACTTGATGAAACTGAGATCAGGACTCTGTGGGGGCCTTCCCATCTGTTCCAGGACTCCCCCCTTTGTCTCTGAAGATAATTCTTTATGGCTCCAGCTGCATGTTTGGGGCCGTTATCATGCTGCACAGTGAATGTGGGACTGATGAGACACCTCCCTGGTGGTATTGCGTGATGGATACGAATCTAAAAGATCCAAACGCTTTACCTCAGTACTGTACCTCTACGTACCGCTGTGCTTGTGTGCAGCCTCACATAGCTGCTGGAATAGCTGGAGACTCTTTGTCTTGTCACTCCGCTCTGGCAAACCAGAGGGACGCGATCTTGACCACCTAATTACAGACAGATTAACGAGACGATGTGGCTCATTTAATGAACGTTATGTCATTTTTTTCTGTTGAAATGAAACTGTAATATGCAGCTAGATCATAATGTATTGGTCATATAAGCCTGCTTACCTAAAGGTGCACTATACCTGCACTTTTCACTTCATCGCTCCTATCACAACGTTTGAGTAATCTGCAGTCCATTTGACAATCGCAATAACTGATGGGAAAAAAAAAAAAACTGTGCCTATAATATTTTAATGTTGAGAAAAGGTCCACGTTCATATATCCCTGAACTGGGGGCAAACTGAGGCAAGGTAAAACAGAAATGAAGTCATCACCGATGGGAGAGCTCAGCATAATACTCTCTTGACTTTCTGCTCGATTTATCAGAATATTAATATTCCATTTAACTCTTAGTCCTTGAGATTTATCCGGTTGGCATTTAGCTGATGGGGTGTAGGGGGGGGATGTAGCCAGAGGTTAACGCCCGCGAGTGTGTCTGCTTCTGCGCAGAGGTAGGAAGGAATCATATTAACGGCCGAGCGTGGCTCTAAGTGGGGACATGCAGGTATTTTTTTTGGTGAATTCAGTGAACTATGCGATTCTAAACAACCCCTTTAATTCACATCTCCTCGGGGCCATCTTTTTCTCCTCGTCACATGCGTTCAGTTACACCTGTAATACCACTGACAGGGTCTCGCAAACAGGATTGCAGACATTACTCTGGTGGATCTGCACATAACAAGAATAGTAGGTTTTAATGAGCCTGGCTTTCCACTTGACAGACAATGTTTTACTCAGTTTTGGTCCCCTCATGACATGAGTGCTGGTGTGTTTTTAATGAGCTCGAGTCCCAGGACCAGCGGTTGATTTCACTTGTTTGGACCCCCGCGTGACAGGGCTACTAGTATGTTTTAATTAGCCTAGCTCCCCTGGTAAGACACTATATTTACTTACTTTTGGTTTCCCGAATGAGAAGACTATCAGTATATTTTTAATGAGCCTCAATCCCAGGGTGAAAGACCGCACGATGTGTCATATCGGGCTTTTGGGCTTAAAGTTTAACAGCTCCAAACCCCCTCCCCCCCTTTTAAAAAAAAATAATTTATTGTTTTTTTTTTTTTTTACGCCTGTTTGTTTTCTTTCCTAGAAACTTGTCATAACTTCAGATTAAGATCGCACTGTTTTAATACTCATTACTGAAATTAATTTGTGCTTAGAGGACAAAAATAGCTTCCCTCAGCCATTGTCATCACGCTCATCCTCAACATTTCTCAGTGTGACAGTGCCGAGTGAAAAACAGCAGGCTGAAATGCAAACCCTGAGCTCTGCCGAATTTCTATACTTGAGTTGACTCTGATTATGAATAAAGCTGAAGCCAGGACTGTGTGTAGGCTGTGCTTCACTGGTTGTTTTAATTGAATGTGACTTATCTGTGAATGTGAACAAGACACAACAGAAGGGATGGAAAGAGTTCTGCTTGACTTGTCATTTATTGAGTGTTATGTGTGTGGATCTCTGTGTTCTGGATGCTCTTTTCTAAAGCTGAAATGCTGGTGAGTGTGTTTATTGTCTACGAGAGTTCCTGTATGACAGCGAGGCTGTCGGCTTGTGTGTATGTGCATGAATATACGCCTGCGGTTCTGTGGCACACAATTTTAAATTAAAAGTGCTGTCACAATGCAAAATTAGTGACTTTTTGTCCTCGCTTTGTCTCCGTCCTGTCGTCTGAGCCTAACTTTCTCAGGCCAGCCAGCTTTCGACAAGATGTCCTAGAAAAAGAGCGTGACTCTATGTAAATGTCAGTGGCGTGACTGTGGCTCTTTCCCGAACCAATTCGCACTCCCTTCACCGCTCTGAATGAACACACACACAGCTGTGCAGTCACGATTGCAGGGAAGATATCGATAAGCAGGTAAATTGTGGGGCACGCTGCCACCAAGCACCATGAAGCATCCATCAATTTACTGTACGTGCTGATAAAAACACACATATTCACTGTCCTCTACATCGACTGTTGTTTTATATTACAGCCAAAGCATTCAGCATATGCCATGAAATACTAAAAATACAACATACTTACCTGCACAAGGATGCAGTTTGAATCCTCATGAATGATTTGCGAAGCCTTTTCTGAATGCGTTAACTAGCCGCCTCTTCTTTGTGACGACCACCCAAGAATCAGCGTGACACCTCACCTCACCTGTGTGACATCATTGTGCGCCCGCTAATGAATAACAAGATGTAAATGAAATGGAACGGGCTCATTAAAACTTTTCTGGATAGCGCTGCTAGTGAAGAAAAACTTGTTAGGGTACCTTTAATTAATTTTGATGAAAAAAAAAAAAAGGGCCTTGATGAGCCCTCCACCGGAATGAGAAAACAGAAGCGGACAGGGTGAAGGTACCGGAGCCAGACTGGCACTAAGCCGACACTGTATGGATTGCTTGTCCATCAGTCGCTACATAGCACTAGACCAAATTCTATTTTCCTCAAGAAACCCTGACAACTTCCAGACCTCTGAACCCAAGTCATTTTAGTGCAAATGATGAAAAACAAAATCCAGAATGCGGCAATTATACTTCTATAAACCATTTGATAATATCTATTTATTGCTTGACAGAGCTTTCATTAATGCCTGTTCATCTGGCTGCCATTTCAATAGATTGATTTTTAAAAGCTCCGTAGCAAAGCATAACCTGACACTGCGTTGTGCATTAAATAATGTCTGTCTGACTCTAACATATTGTCGAGGTGTTCATGTTATTGAGTCTGTTAATTATATGTCTGTGTGATGGAGGAGGATAACATTAAACATGAAACAAGTTGTCAGTGGCCGAATTTCTCTTTCAGATTTTTTATTAAAGTACAGTTGTGACTCGATAATCCGGCACTAAATGTAAAACCTTCTTTAATGTCAGATAGCAAGGCTGTCGGATTGTCAAGACGGAGGTCGAGATACGAGGAGGGCTTGATGCTTGAAGGCTCATTTGTTGTTAATATTTATTGTTTATAGTTGTTATAATAACTAGTAGGGCTGGTCCCAATAGCACTTTCTGGGCTCAGTTAATGATGAATATCAGAATATTCGGCGTGGCCGGGAGTGGAGGGGGCACTTCCACTCCGACGGAGCGCTCAGACGGTGTGGAAGTGACCAGAACGCACAGACAGTACTTGGCTGCTGATGCTAGTTTAGAATAGCAGTCCCAGGGGCGCCTCACGTGGTTGAGCCGGCGTTCCATGTACAGGGCTACAGTCCCGATGTGGAGGTCATGAGCTCGAATCCCGCTCATGGCCCTTTCCCACACGTCCTCCCCCCATTCTTCTTCCCCACTTTCCTGTCTCTCTCTCACTGCTCTATCCAATAAAGGCCCAAAAAATAACTTTAAAAAGAATAGCAGTCCCAGTTCTGTTTCC